GCCAGTGACATGTGACAATAAATCAAAGATTTAGAAATATAAATGGGCAAAAAAAGAAACCTGGAATGAATATATACTGTGAAAAGCATAGCATGCAGAATATCCATCTCACAAACCATCAGATCATCTGACTCAGCTTGAAAAGGAACCCAAACATGTGGCAGAGTCATGAAGAATGATCCCAGGTACAAGAAAAGCAACGAGTCCAGCAGCCATTTGTATATTTGATGTCATCTGGAGTGTGCCTATGCTTAGAAAAGATTGATAAAGTATAGTATTGTACAAATCCTCATTTAGACTCATAAACTAATATTCTTTTACAACTAACAACCTAAACCTACAAACCTGATGTCGTTCTCAGTTTGGTTCTGAGTAGACCACACAACATTAAACCATGTGGCTGTAAGTAGGATCTAATCAACACAGATGGAAAGAAATCACAAAGTGTGCAGGCAGCTTTTCATGCTTGGTGAATAGAGATAGGGAAAGGACTGAAGTTGGTCACAGGACAAACGAATTCATATCTGCAAGGGCTGAACTTATTCATAAACAAACAGGCAGCACAAAGAACAACTGCATCTTTGCACACCATGAAGAAATACCAGGGCGTACATCTTTATTCATGAGAACAATACATCTGAGCATAAAAGTTTATTTTGAAAATGGTTGCTATTTCTTTCAGTAGAGAAATCGGAACGGGATGTTGTTTGAGGATTATGAGCGCCAAAATGATTTCTTAGCAAGAGAATAAGCTTTGATTTTTTTCCCCCTCTGGGCAAATAGAAAGTGAACACCAACAATCTTTATTTATTTTCTCCTCGCACTTTTCTTTTGTTGATGCCTTCCACCGCTTTGCATTTGAATCCCTCAAAAATCAGGAAATCGCTTCCACCCAGCTTTCGTATTTATGAAAACACGTGTTTCCAAGAGCCTGCAATGAATTTATATTTGGTACAAGCTGCGTAGTGCATCTCACTCCCTTGGCAATGTGCCCGTCCACAAGCTTTCCATGGAGGTTTGTCCCCCCCAGTTTCCACAGATCCCGTTGATTGATTCGCTGTTTAATGGCTTCCTGTGCTGGGCATAGCATACGACAAACATCTGTGAGGGTGGATCGGGCATACTGGTTCTCTTTTGCTCTGCTACGCTCATCTGTGGTGTAGTAAAGTGAGGTATCTGCCTTTACTGTGGCCTGAGAGAATGACGTGCTCCATTATAAAAAGCACTGACTCCACTGAAAAATGAGCCATGGGTCCTAGCGGCCACTGGTTGCTGAGTGGCTCATAGTGCCTCAGGGGATGAAGTTTAGCCTCAGATGTTGATGACAGATGATTTAGGGGGTGGGGGGTTATAGCAGCTGGGCTACGAGTGATAAAGTTATACTGAGTGTTAATGTCCAGAGTAGTTTGAAGACTCATCTCTTTGAGTCGATACAGAAGCTAAGGGTTCAGCTTTGGGCTATTTTAGTCAGCTTCACTATGGATTCCATCTTCTTGGTATTCTAGTAGTCACAGCTCTGATAAGATAGTAAAATTGCTTAAGATCCAAGTAAATTAACGTTGTGGATATTTATTAAGAATCTTTAGACCCACAGCACTGAAGCAAATCACAGGAAATTGGAAAAGAACATCAAGCCAAAACTAAATTAGCTGAAAATAAAACTCAGAGTGTTCAATAACAAAGAAATTAGCTCGTGAGAAGCATTAAATTGGGGATATTTTTATGGAAAAAAAGTACTCTGGTTTTGTAAAATTAAAATATAGTTTTAAGATGGGTTTCTTTTATGCATAAAATGTCTGATATGCATCATGTTTACCCTTTTTTTGTTGCAGTGCTGTAACATTTGCAATTATTCATCTATTCCCCCCGTGCTATGGATTATGGCAAGTGTCAAGCCTTACATCACAAATTGCATTTAGTATAAAATCTTTGTCAAATTATCCCTAAGAAATCAAGGTTAACAATATGTCAACTTGTAGTCTTGGTCAGACATTTACACTCTTCAAGGGCATAAATCTTTTCAATAGGGTTGACGTCAGCGGTTTTCAAAAGGCCATTATTCCAGGAGTTTATGGTCAGCCTATTTTATATGGGATGATTGTCCTGCTCGAACACCAAATTGTGTCAAAATTTCAACCATCTAGCTCCTGATTTGAGGTGAAGTTGAAGAATTTCGAGGTAATACTCCTTCATTATTTCATATCCTTTGTACAATTTACCACTACCACTGGCAGCAAAACAGCACCAGAGCAAGACAGTTGCTCGACAGCTGGTACACTGTTCTTAGATGTCGAGGCTTCACCTTACTCCTCCAAACATGTATCTTGTCTTTGCGACCAAAAAGCTCAATCTTTGTCTCATCTGACTATAAAACTGTTGCCGAGATGGCATTTGGGCTTCTTTACATGAAGCCTTCATGTGTAAGTAAACATGAATCTCACTGTGCAAACTGAACCAGCCAACTGCCAATTGCCAATGTCTGATATACAAAGATGCTGGGTTCAGCTGTGGCTCACCAATCAGCCTGTTGAGGTGCACAGTAGCCTGTTTTCAGCAACCACCATTTTTGTTTTCAAGTAGAACATTGTGATATCTAATGCAAAATTTTCCATATAATAATATTATTTTCTAATTATAATTAGGAAAAAAAAATTCTAATGATTTTACATAAACTACTGTCCATAGATGGCCATAGTGATAGATGTAGCTATACCAAGTGATAGCAACATCGGGAAGAACGAACATGGAAAGCTCAAGAAATACCAAAGACTAAGAGAAGAGCTGGAGAAGATGTGGAGGCTGAAGGTAACAGTGGTCCCTGTGGTAATCGGAGCACTCAGGGCAGTGACACCCACTGTACAGAACATTATACATTTATATATAGTTATATGAAAGTATATAGTCATATACTGCAGCGGTCCTCAACCCCCGGGCCACGGACCGGTACCGGTTCATGAGTCATTTGGTACCGGGCCACGAGAGTAGAGACTCGGGTGTGAAATGTATGGTTTTCTGGGTTTTTATCGTTTTTTAGCGTTATTTTGTTATCATTTTTTTCGTTAACTCTGTTTTCCTGGGTCTTTTCACGTGTGTTATGAATAAATCGTCTTTTTTTTGGTACCGGTACTAGTTTTATTTTGTTATATTTATCTGCGACTCCTTAAAGGCCGGTCCGTGAAAATATTGTCGGGCACAAACCGGTCCGTGGTGCAAATAAGGTTGGGGACCGCTGATATACTGTATATACTCTTCATGTGGGGGCCAAAAAAGGGGATGCTATTTCATGTGGAAAACTGTCCAAAAAAAAGACTTCTTACAACTGTGTATACTACACCTTCCATAAAACAGCCCAAACTGGTTCCAACCAGAATAGCAATAGAAGTGGGAGGCACTGGTGCACAACTGATAAACAAAACTGGGACTTCACTCTCTAGATTTGAGAATCAACTACTTCACAGAGGCCTGAAACTATAGACCCCATTATACAGTTTTGTCATTTACAACATTTCTGATATATTTTTATTATAATTCTAATTATAATATATTAAATATATTACATAAAAACAAGAATAATTCCTTCAAAATCACGGGCCTTTCCAATTGACCTCAAGCTTTTGTGTGGTTGTGCTACATACAGATGCAAGTAAATTACTGATAGTAAGATGATTTTTAATTAGTCTGTTAATTGCCTGTTGGTTTTAGGATTTTGTCATGTTTGTAAAAAGACAATGTAAAAATATATTATAACTGCAATATAAAAAGCAAAGCTTTTGTTTTTATCCATCTTAGGATTAGACGACTTTTCCAAAATCTTCTTTTCGACGTAAAGTGTTCACGTTGCCAGTGACAAAACTCTGTGTTTGGGCAAACACCTTAATCCCAAAATCAATCTTTATTTCAACGTACGCCTTAAAATTAGGAGAACATCAGAAGGTGCTGTTCAGCTACGAGGCATTAGAAGTTAAGGGACAAAGCACACCTGCAAAGCTGCAGTTGACATGAAACAAAAAGCACACCCAAAACAAAAGCCTCATCCAAAAGCCACTTCAGAAGTCTTTCCTCATAATCTAGGGATGTAGAGCAGATCTGAGAAATGGGAAAAGTCCCACGTGAAAGCAACAAGCTTGCACAGAGTGCATTAGCATTTACTTGTGTTTGAATATGATTGAACTAATTACGGCGGGTTATTGAGATGTTAAGCGACTGTAAACACTGAGGGTTAGAACAGGCCCCCACTGAGATGAAAAACCTCTACTTTCATCCATACGCAATTAATCAGCATCTGACTCTGCAAACAGGCTTGCTCCATTGCCTCTCTTGTAAGCACTGACTGACACATGAAAGGAGGGAAATTTGCACCCAGTTAGGAGATTATACAGCAAGTGAGTCAAATCCGAGCTGATAGTGCAGAAAGACCCCAGACATCGACACACTGGGAGGTTTACTTGACCTTTGTAAGAGTATCAGGACCTGTTACCAGGTAACAAAGTCGAGGAAGTTGGAACATGTGTACTTATTTATGCTTTTAGGAAACATTAATGTGACTTTATGTGAAAAACGATAGGGTCCTTCAGGGATAGCAGAGCGGTAATAGCCAGGGTTTGCAGGAGCTAGTAATAGATACATCATTGCACAACTGCTATTCGGGAAACAGCGTTCACATGCAGCAAAAACTTCAAAGCCTTCCATGTGCAGAAGGCCAGGTTATTTCAATTAGCCTTCAACAGAAACCCTTCTTCTACCCCAGCTGGACCCCCACCTATCACTCGCAGAGATCAGCCACAGGGGACCCTGTCACTGTGTTTCTTTTTACCCCCCCAAGGGCTTTGTTTTGGAAAAGGAGAAGCCAGTCAGGTTCAAAGTGGAGGAGAAGACCGTGGGGTAACATGAGATGACGGTCTGTCCGATGAGGCATGCTGCTGGGGTGAATATGGATGATTCTTTTATTTCTGAGCTCTAAACAGTAGTGTACACATATAAAGGAGAAACAACTAGAAAACCATGGGACAACATTCGATTTATTGATTTTTTATGTGAGTTATAGATACTCGATCATTGTTTTCAAATACAGATATATAATGTAGTTCAAAGATTTCCAGTGGGAGAAGTTCACATTAAAGGATTTGGCATAAAAATAAGCTTCTTTCTTTGCATTATTTTCAGTTTACGGTTAAAATATGGTAAGGTTTTAGTTTAGTTTAAAGGCAACATTTCAAAAACATTAACCACAATTCACAGAGCTTCTTAAAGCATTGAAGGCAAACGTCTTCCGTGTACACAAAGATTCAGAAAGCAAGTGTTGACAGAGTGCAAAAAGTTGACCTTTATGTAACATTTGCGGATTTCTCTGGCTCAGTCACTCAGCAAAGTCCTTCGTTTGACTGAAGGCTACGAGCCCACACGTAGGCTGAACAGAGTTCAAAGTTTTTCAACCAAAAACTGGTCAGGTTCACTTCACATTTGACATGAGTCTGAACACATCTGGTCCTATTTTAAACTGAACGGGAGAAGGGAGTGTTGATTGTAATGATGATATGTCCATGTAGTATTTACACAGTTCTCTCTCTCTCTAGCAAAGATCGGGCGTTCAGTCATGCAAAACTGGGATATAAAAACAATCATGGCATTTTTCCTTTTCTTCAGTTCCCTCAATCGTCACCCCATGCACCATTTACCACAACCTGGAGGTTTTCCAACCTAAACAAGAAGAAAAACATGAGGCCAAACAACAGACTGAAAGCCTAACGCCTGAGGTTTTCTTGATAAGGTCAACAGGTCAAGAGAAGAGCGCCGTCCTATTCTGTAGTGCAACTGTGTGTGTTGGTTTCCAAATGCTCAGCTCTGAACATATTTGTGGCCATTGCTGATATGGTTGATCCATAATTCAAAAGGACTTTGAGAGTTTAGCAAGGCTGCTGTTGGTTCACCATCTGGATTGGTTTGTCTTTCCTTTCTCTGGAAATACAGATAAAAGAGGTAGTCACTGAACAAACTGTTAAAACAAAATTAAACAGTGAGACCTGAAAAGCAACCAACAAACAAGAAAAACACACATTTTCATCCTAAATCCCTTTTGGGTGTGTTGTTATTTCAAAGATGATCATTGTCATCTTTCCAAAGTTACTGTGGGGGGAAAACATTGCCCTCCAGACTGTTTCTCCTGCAGCTTCATGGGAGTAGTAGAAGTAATAGAGAACACTTGTTTAATCAAAACTAACTGCGAGTAAATTGTGTGGTGACCTTGCAGCAGGGCAAGCATTATTTTCAACTCTGCTCATAATAAAAGCATTTTATTGCTCTTATTGACGGTGTTTTATTAAGCAGCTTTTATAAAACTTGCAAAACAAGGAAATAAATGTTGAAAGGAAACTGTACTATGCCTTCTGTGGTACATAAACTACAGTAGTAAAGCATTAGGTGGTTTTTGACCTTAGGGCTCATTGGGATCATTTGAACTTGATGAAAAGAAGGAAACATGTACTAAAAAGACTGGATTTGATCCTACAATGACTGGAAGGGCATTACGAAAGAACTGTTTACTGAAGAACAGAAAGATTAAACCTAGTTTTAAAAACGTGGATGTTGAGTGGATGAGTATTGTTTTAAGGGAGATCTGATAAAATAGTAACCCATCCTTTAAGTCCTATTCACAGATCATCATTCATACTTCGGTAGTTATTCAGGGTTAGATCAGTAAGTTATTTCAGCATGTGCGCTGGCGATATCTGAGCAATTTTTTTGTAATCTAAAAGAACACAAACACTCACCCTTCACTTTGTTAGGTACACGTGATAAACTGCAAATATCTTTTCAGCAGCAACTTAGTGTGTTTAGTCATGACCTGCTGAAATTTAAGCCGAGCATCAGAACAATGGAGCTTCCAAAATGACAGAAAGACAACAGCAACTCAAATAACTACTCTTTTCAATCAAAGGATGCAGAAGAGCATCTCTGAATGCACAACATTTGGAACTTTAAAGAAGATGGGCTACAGCAGCAGAAGACCACATCGAGTGCCATTGCTGTCAGATAAAGACAGGAAGCTGAGGCTTAACTTTATACAGGCTTACCAAAACTGGAAAATAGAAGATTGGAAAAGTGCATGGTCTGCTGCAACATTCAGACAGTAGGGTGAAAATCTTGTGTGAAAAACATGAAAGCATGGATCCATCTTGCCTTGTATCAATAGTTCACACTAGTAGCAGTAGTTGTGTAGTGGTGTGAGAGACCTTGGCATACATTTCTTGGCATACTTCGGGCCTCTTAAGGCCCAGTATACCTGCTGTGGTTGCACAACGCAGGGGTTACCACAATCCAGGGGTGCAAGACCTTCTAAATTGGCAGCTAGCGACAAGCAGTTTGACATCAACTTTGGTTTATGGTGTGATGTGTGAGGCACTGCACAGCAATTATAATGGGACCCTTAGTACCAGCTGAGCATTGTTTAAATGCCACAGCCTACCCGAGTATTGTTCCTGACTGTGTCCATCCCTTCAGGGACACATTTGTAATGGCTGCTTCCATCATACGTAACATGTCACGAACCAAGCTGAAATAATCTCAAACTGGTTTCTTAAACATGACAGTGAGTTCACTGAACTTAAATGACTTCCACGGTCAACTGATCTCAGTCAAACCTTTGAGATGTGCTGGAGCAAGAGATTTGCATAGCTGACAAATCTGCACCAACTGTGTGATAGTATGATGTCAATTTACAGCAAAATCTCAAATAAATGTTTCCAACTCTTTGTTTAATTATGCCACAGAAAATATGGCAGTCCTGACACAATTCGGTGATGACATATGCTTCTGGATCCAAACTACTCTGCATTTATTGAGGCTGCTGTGTTTTTAACATGTTTTAATGCTTTGTATCTTGTTATATTTAATCTGAACAAGTCCCTAAAAAAGTCAGTGATCACTGTCGGCCTCTCTCGGTTTTTATTACCACTATTCATTTTAAAGCTCAGTCTTTAAAACCTTACGATGTAACTACAGCGCAGCGCATGCAGCAGTATGTTAATGACTAACTTCGTATTGTGGATGGATTATCTCAGTTGTTCTCCTGACTGAAGTTTGGTCCATTTACAGCATCCTGCCATGCGATTCCATTTGTCCCTAACTTTTATCGAGTGGAAAAAAGTTAGCATTCATCCTCCAGCTTCACTGTGCTAATGTGTTTCTATTATGCTAACACAGCTGTGTAGCTAGCCACCACGTAGCACATCATTATATACCAGCTAGCCCAACTTCAGTAACCCTACAAACGTCACTGCTGTTTAGTTTTGTCTTCATTTATGCCGGCAGTGATAGCATAGCAGAGCTGTACGTCTTCATTTTTCAGAAATCTCTCAGTCAGAACGTGGTATATTATGTTGAGGTGGAAACTAGCGAGCTAACTTCCTGCTAACTTCTAACTCTATTAAATTGAATAAATTCTGTTTTCATGGATGCCTGGATGTTAAACTTCATTGTTACACCTGGTAGAGCAGCCACACTGATCATTTTATTAAAGGTGAAAGAATTTATACAGTTTGTAACTCTCAGACATGTGGCAGTGTTCGTTTGACTTTGGGACCTGAAGAGGAGTTTGGACCCAGAAACGGCTAATGATGTCAGACTTAAAGGCCAGATAGTAGCAAGGTGCACCTAATGGGATACTGACAGTCATTTTAGATATGTCAACATTTGGATTGTGATTAAAATTTCATGATGAGAAGCAGAGAAGAAACCTCCCAAATTCAGAGCTATTTTTAAGTCATATTTTCAGACGCATAAGTGAGACACCAGAGTTTCCTACCATTTGGTGTTGGGACGGTTTACTTCTCTTTTCTAAATGTGCTTCCCACATCAATCCTTAAATCTATTCTGAACCCTTTTCCACATTCAGACAAACACCCCTCTACCTTTTTGATGTGTCATAAAGCAGAAGTGGAGAAGACATCACAGTACACACACAGACACACAAACACAGACTCACATCATATGGTGTAATGACTTTCCTACTACTGTGGTGAACTGCCAGTCAACCTGTTGAAACCTGCAAAGTAACCCTAGATGTGGAAAGTACCCCTGCAGGTCTAAGACACATGGAACAGAGGCTCAGGAGCTCTGCGAGCTTTGTATACACAAACACACATAGCCTCATGCACACACTGAGCTGTGTAGTTTCACTGCTTCTTTCCTCCAGACACACAACCCAGACATGATCTGAAATACGGTAAGACCCCAGCTACTTCCATCCTGATATGCTTCAGATGTTGAAGAGGAATCGATGTGTCTGCACTTGTCCGTAGGAGACTTTTCATGCATGTGAATGTATAAGGTGTCTCAACACACTACTGTATATGGAAAAACTTTATATTATTAGTAGTATTTGCTATAAAACAAACAATCTGTGTCCTTAAATTAAATGTTTAATTAAACCTAATTTCTATTAGTTTTATAATTTGATTTACTTAAAAGTTTTCTGCGCTTTTTTGAGAATTAGTTGTTTAATAACATATACTTGACTATTTTGACAGTTCCACATGGGTGAGTGCTAAGACCCATAGGACTGTTAATGTTTAACTTCAAATCACTAATTTAATAGTGTGAGCGTGCTGGATATGTGATGTGGTTTTTAATGTTTGTGTGGTAAAGAACAGTGTTATGGCTTGGCTATAACAACAGGCCACCATGGATGAGACTTGTAGTGATTCATTATTTTCAGTGAGAAAACTCTCTACTGATGGATAAATTAAGCCATGGTCAGTTACTTTGGCTCAGTATTTTGTACACCATTTAAAATTCCGCTCTTTTCAATAAAAAGGAATTCTAACCAATCAATTTAAGTTTGCATAATTTTCAAAGCGTACTTGTATTTTTTCTAGTGTGTATGCACCTTAGGTCTCCAATTGCAGTATGTGTACCAGCATGCTGTATGTGTGAGATCACCTGACTCACATCTGCAGACCTTTTGACACTCATCATATCTTTTTGCACCTGGCCTCCTATGATCAAGACTTCAAGAAGAGAGGGCAGGTGTGCGTGCTCCCTGCCCTTATGACTTATAAACCTAGTAGTTTCATCAAGTCGCTGCCCCAAGTGATGCTGGAAGCGGGAGGCGGCTCTTGACTCCCAATATCCATCTTTTTTCCCCTCCCTTGCCATAGTTATAGTGGGGGAAAGCCCAAATGAAATCTACGAGGCCATAAAACAGGCCTTTAATTTGCTTGTATATGCCCAGGAGCAAGCACTACTATTAGCCTCTTGTTTCTCTGGACTGCATGATTCTGCAGGGTATATGGGTTTGATCAGATCAGAAAGAAAATTTATGAGTAACGTTTAGGAGGCTGGGACATGCTGAATATCAAATAAGCAGGTGGGATTCATTGCATCTGTATGTCTCTGCTAGCACAGCAAAAAGGTGACTTGGGAGGAAATGAGAGGGAAAGAGGACCTCTAGCTATGTACCAGTTTGCACAAGATGACAAGAACTTCCAACTTCAAACATATAATCTCATCAAAGACTGAGTGAAAGATATATGGGTGGCTATGGCTGGAGGCCTACCAAACAAAAACAAGGCAATAGTTATGTCTTAATTCACAGTGTGCCTGACCTGAGGAGACCTTGGCATTGCTGCTTCACACAGAAAGAGAGACACAGATCAGAGATAACCATAGTTTTTAGACATGCATGCATGTATTCTGTATGTTATCTGCTATTAGTGTAATTTTATCTTACTGATCAGCTGCAGTGTTTTCTCTGCATTATCATCCTGAGAGCCAAGTTTTGCTTTCTGCTGTCAGCTTGTGATTACTTGGATCTGATAAGTATACAAACCAAGCTTTCTCTTAGGACAGAAAGTCAGAATTTCCTTACATGGCTTAACAAATATAAAACACTATAGAGCACAATCAACTACAAGGTGTTGAAAACCCAAAAGCCCCATTTGAGAATGCAGGGTCTCAGG